GTTGGCAGGAAAGTTGACATTTTAAACCTTAATAAAAAATCGATACAGGACTTTAGAATATCGATACAGTATCGGGAAATGAAATATCGAGATATTTCAGTGTATGGATATTTTCTTACACCCCTAAATGAAACATGGCAAAACGGACAGTGTTTGTTAGTTTCCCATCAGAGATGTGAAGTCAAATATCTGCAGCCCTTTGAGAAACAGATGGTTTGTTCTGGAAGATGTGAGAAATGTTGCAGCTGCTTCTGCTTGTAGCTCATGAGGACGTTGATGCTCGACTCATTCACCTGTTTCTGTCTACCTGTACCTGCAGCTCTGAAGAGCCCTGCAGCCTTTCATGAACAGAGGAAGAGTCTGGAGCGAGCAAGGGTGAGTGTCTCATCTGCAGCTTCCTGCTTGCTGCATTTCCTTTAGACAGAAGACAAAGTTGTTCAAACTGTGTAAAACTAGTTTCTGATCACGTTTTCTCAATGAAATCACGTTGGCTGATGAGGTTCAGTTCATCCCAAATGTTTCCACATTTTCTTCTTCATTCATCATCCGTTTACTTTGCTGCAGTGACATTATTTCCTGTGTTGACCCCTGCAGACTGAGGACTACCTGAAGAGAAAGATCCGCAGTCGTCCGGAGCGCTCCGAGCTCGTCAGGATGCACATTCTGGAGGGTCAGTTTATACACACCTGCAGAAGTATTACTTAATAAAAATGTTTTAAATCAAGTGAAATAAATCACATAACTTTATTGAAAAGGAAGCTTTTTGTGTGAGAAACAGAACGAGTTTCTAATAATGTTAAAGCAAAAAGTCAGACAGAAAATACACTTTGACTAATCTAAAGAAGCATTAAAACATTCTTTTAAGTCTAATATTCAAGCATTTAACCAACAGAAATGATTTTTTAAATCCTAACTGGCCTGGAAGTTTTGGTCTGATTTAATGTCAGACAAAAACAGAACAATAGTTCAATAATCTGGTTTCAGCTGCATACTTGTGTTTCAGAAAGACCAGCTTAATAAGACTTGTTTCATCTGTTAATTTTCCATGTCCTGGAGGACTGAGAATCCATAGAAACATTTGATAATAACTTCACAGGACCAGATTGATACTAAGCTTACTTCATCCATACTTTAGTTTTAGCTCGTTGCTTTGGCTACGTTCACACTGCGAACAAATGTGACCTAAATCTGAATTTTTTTATGACAGTCTGAACGCGAAAAATCCAATTTTTTTCAAATCCGGCCCAGGCCGTTTCAGTATGTGGTTTTAAATCTGATGCATATCTGATGTTTTCAAAGTGACTGCAGTGTGAACGTAGCCAGTGTTTCAAAAATAAAAAGTTGCACTGGAGCATCCAATCAGAGGCAGGTTCAGATATAAACACTGAACTGTCAGATAATTATTAAATCGGCTCTGACTGAACAACAACTTCAGATTCAATGTGCTAAAAGTAGCTTCCATGCTAACTCTGTAAACAAACAAGCCGGCTGAATGAGACGTCACGTCTTTACTGTGCATGTATCACATCAGTGCTGTGGAGCGCTCACACTGTAGTCTGATGGAGGTCACATTTAAAGTGTAATGTGAACGCTCACACTGAAAAGTCAGAGTTTTTAAAAACACTGAGAGAGCATTAAGAGCTGCAGTGTGAACGTAGCTTCAGGAATAAACAGTCTGCAGTGTTTCCACCAGGATTATTACTGGAAGTAGCTTTAAACTGCTGTGAAGAATGCACTGCAGAGAGAAAATCTTGTTTATTAAAAACAAAAGCAGGTTGAATTCTTCATGGTGCTGATGAGCTGCTTCAGCACTGTTGTTATCCACTAACATGGAGCTGTCTGAGTGACTGTGTACAAGTGGCTCTGAACATTTTACACTTTCCTTCATGAATTGAGTGTAGACTACCTCCAAAAAATCCACTTTTCATAATATTTTCTTGCTTGCAATTAAATTAATAGTTTATTTTTAAACTTGTGTGTGTACTTGTTTCTACTACAGAGTGAGGACCATTTGCATCATAGTTACTATCAAAGTGAGGTCTTCAAATGTCTCCTTAATGTCCTCACTTTGTTTGCAGCTCTGCTGTACTTTACTAGTTAGGTTTAGAGGTATGGTGTGAATTATGTTCTGGTTCAGGTTAGAGTTAACTATAGACCAGTAATGGTTAATTTTACTAGTTAGGTTTACAGGTATGGTGTGACTCAAGGGCGGAGTGGGTAATCGGAACGAATCCCGCTGGGCCGGACCATTAACGGGCCGGTCCGATGGGTTCAGTTAGTACGGGGATGATAGGATGAAAAAAGTCTCAGATCAAAACTGATGATGAACTTCTGTTCAGTGACGCTCCACAGAGCTGCAGCAGCAAAGACAGCCCGCTCCTCCCTCCCTTTTTCACTCAGAGCTGCAGCAGCAAAGACAGCCCGCTCCTCCCTCCCTTCCTCCTTGTGACAGAGCAGAGCGGTGTCACACACACAGTCAAGAGTTTATTCTTCTATTCTTGTGGGGACTTTGCATTGACTTCCATGCATTTACCTGTGGCATTTCTACAGCCTAACACTGACCCGCCAACAGTATTTTCCACCACAGGGACCCCCCCACCCCCAAATATGGAAGACTGGGTCCTCACCACCACCTGTGTTACTGGGCAAATGGTCCCCACCAGGGTGCTAAAAACTGTTGACACACACACACACACACACACACACACACACACACACACACACGATGTGCACGTTGCGTTGAGCTGCCTTCTGCAGCATAAACAACGAGTTCCAGGCTACAACTGGAAGAGGTAAGACTCTTCTGATAAAGTTCAGCTTTTGGTAAAACTGTAGTTTTTACAAAGAACCAGAAAATAAATCAAAATTTCCCCACGACAGTTTTTTCTACCAAAAACTAAGTGCAGTTAGTTAGTCCAGGTGATCCATTAATGTTAGCTATAATTTAAGTTCAGTGATGAGTTTAAATCTATTATTGAGGTGTTTTTAATCAGTTAAACTGTATGTTAATGACAAGAATAAGGAAACTGAAACTAGTAAATTACAGAAATTGGTCAATTCAAACATTTAAAATAGTACTGCTTGTATTATTAGCAAGAATAAAATGTTTATTTTGTTTAGAGTTTCAGTAATTTCTGCATAAAAACAGTGCTTCATGGGCAGAGAACTAACTTTTAACAATGGGATCATGGAAAGAACAAGTGGTCATCTGTTAATTTATTCATGTTATTTCATGATATTTTCTTTACTTTTTGCTGAGTTCAGGTGGCAGTAAAAATAACCCAATATTTAATCCATCAATATTTAATCCATCAATATTTAATCCATCAATATTTAATCCATCAATATTTGATCCATCAATATTTAATCCATCAATATTTAATCCATGCCCATGTCTGTTGATGTAGGAGCTGAGAGGCAGATTCAGCAGGTAGAGTTCTGTCAGGTGAGGGCAGGTGTGAATGAAATATAAAATGTTTACTCAAATTAATATTTATTTTGAGRACATTCTAGTCAGCTGTGTGAATTTAATGAAATAAATTATGGATCTAAAGGCATAATTTACAGCATGATTAACAACTTTAAGTTTTATTTCTAGAAAGTGGTAGAAATTGTTTTTCATAATTAGGATTTTCCTGGTTAAAAAAACATCAATAAATAAATCTGTCAATTCATCCATCATTAGATTTCTGATCAGTTCCAAACATCCATGTATCAGTTTTTCTTAATATTTACAGGATGATAAAACTGATGAAAGTTACATTTTATATGACCACTGTTTGACACAAAGGCTGCATGATGTCATGTCAGATTGTTAGAGTAGACCTGTCATTTAATCAGAAAAATAATTGATCTGTTTATTGTGTAGTTAATACTTTAAACATGCAGGTGCTTTGGCACAAATAAAACTAAATCAAGAACAAACAATATAAAGTAAAATTGTCCTCTAAAGTCATTGTTTGGGATAAATTGTCACCTTAGTTTCATTATCTGAGCCACAGCAATGAGTTTAAAAACAGGATGATGCAACTAGAATCTGTCTCTAATTTAGTTATTTGATCAAGTGTTTTATGTAGGTAAAAGTATGTTTAGGAACCTGGTAAAATACACCAGAATGCAGGAAACTGCATCTTCTAGTTTCAAAATTTTCTGGTGGAGGACCCCCAGACCCCCCACTAATGCCCCCTCACACACATTACAATGCTTCTGATGCTCATTGTTTAACCTTAGAGAGAATAAACCAACACACCTGTAGTGCACCACCTGTGTACTACAGAACTGAACTGTGTTCTGTGAAACTAGTTGATTGTTAAACTGAACTCCTGAGATTAAAGAGCTGCTACAGTACACAGTATAATGCAGGTGAACATCATATCTGTGATTGAGTACACATTATTGCACCACAGCAGAAACATTTATTTTGTTGTTGATGAATGTGAAGAGGCAGGTTTTGATCAGTGAATACAAAATACAAAAATATTACATGCTAGTACTACATCTTTGTCTAATTTTTTTATATGTACAAAAATTGGGCCGGTCTTGGCCTTTAAACTCCCGGGCTGAAAAGTTTCCCCACTCCGCCCCTGGTGCGAGTTAAGTTCAGGTTAGGGTTAACTATAGACCAGTAATGGTTAATTTTACTAGTTAGGTTTAGAGGTATGGTG